TCCTTTCAGTTCTACCTTTTGAGGAATTCCATTCTGGGAATATTCCTGACTGTTTCTGCTAACAAATGGCTTATAAACTTTTATAGCACTGAAAGATTAGAAAGGTTTCCTGACATTAGTATTATAATTATAACACAATCTTGTTGCTGCAATTCCTCTGAATTTGGGAGAAGGGTCTGTACTGCTAGATCTTAGAAATGAATTTGATAATGGAGTTTACTTTTCCAAACCACTCTTTTTCTGCATTTGTCTTTCTTAGAAGAATAGAACAGAATATAATTCTTTATTGGCCATACAAGGAATTTGTCTTGGTGCAAATGCTCTCAGTATATATAAAAGAAAAGATACATTCATCAAGAGACAAGAATCATAAGGTACAACATTTAATAATAGTCATAGGGTACAATAAGCAATCAAATCATACTAGGAAACAGTCAATATAGATCGTAAGGATACAAGTGACAAAGTTACAGTCATACAGTCATACAGCTACTTTGATCTCTCTTGTTAATATGTTTCTGGCCTGACTATATAGCATTCTGTCACCTTTTCTGTAGGCTTCTTCTTTGGAATGACGTAGCTGCTTAAGTTTAGCTGTGATCCAAGGTTCAAAGTAGATTAGGATTTAAATGTTTCATGTGACAACTGAGTGGGTGGAATTGGTTTCACCTTGCACTGAGCCTATTTGGGGTTAACTGTGATCCTTTGGGGATTGGCTAACTGGGTCATTTAATCACAACATATTAAGTCCCTAATTGTCCCAGATAAGCGTGTTGTGGGAAGAGGTCTACAGCAAAGATGGATCTAGGCCTCAATCATTGCTGTTCCCTAGCAGATAATAATTAAACCCTGCCGCTTGCGATTCCCGCAAGGCTTGGAGCCATTGATAGAAAGATCCTCCATAATTTTTTCTAACTTGGTGGCTATCATCACATCTCATGCAGCAAACTCTATAGTTTATATGCAGTAGTATTTAAAGAAGCACCTGTATTGAGTTTCTCCACATTTACTGTACGTGGATGACTCTCAGTTGTAACACTCTGACAGAAAAAAAAAGTTTCTCAGCAGATTTTTCCTCACCGCGATTGGTGAGGAAATTTCTGTTGGTCTCTTCGATTTATCAGAATGTGGAGATATTAACAGCAGAGGCAGAAGAAACTATTTTTTGCTTTTGGGGGTGGTGATCTTAGCCTATGGTACAGGATTTTAGAAAGAGTTATGAGCCAAGGCAGTTGGATTATTTACTGATCTTATGTGTTCCAAGCATGAATATTTTATTCATTTCATTTCATTAAAAGTATTTACTGTTTTCAATCTGTTGGGATTCTCAGAGTGATATATAGTTTTTTTAAAAAAATTAAAAATAAAATAAAATCTAAATATGAAGATAAAAGTAAACCATCCTTTAAAAAAAAATCTGCTATTGGAAAGTATCGAAGTTTGAACAGTGAATTATTTAAACTGTCAATCTGAATATCAGGATGGAATTTATTGCTGAAGAAAACATGATGTATCAGAAATGATTTCTATTTTACTGAATCTCAACCTATTTCTGAAATCTTCCTTTCAAGCTAAGTTTTATAAACAGCTGCTCTTTTAATAGCATTCTCTCTTTTTATAATTTTTATTTTCTCAATTGAGGGAAACGTTTATGATCAATGACTTATTCCATGATGTTGCCGTATCAGCCACTTTGGTAGGGCTTGTCCCCTGGAAGACACCCCTGCCTTTTTGAAATGAGCAAGCAACTAAAAAGAAGAATTCGCTGTAAATGCTTTGTATGAAATTGGCAAGTACCTCAACTGTGATTCGCTTCCCTGGCAGAGTCCTTTATTTCTGCTGATCGCTACTTTAATCCAGTTCAAGATTCAGTCATGCGTCTAATCAAGTACTGACTGATATGTAGTAGCTACTCTCCAGAGACCCAGGTGGAATTCTCACTCTGGCTATCTAAATCCCTTGGGGATTTCTGTAGAGAATACACATGGTCTACCATTGAGTGTATTCATATTTCATTACAACTGTCTCTCAGCTTTGTATCCTTCTTTCTTTCAGGCAGGCTCGAATTTTGGCTTGGTCCAAATCAAGCCAGTTTCCTGGCTTATAGACACTGGTGGGGTTCAAATAATTTACCAACCAGTTCAGCCAGGGTCAGGTTGGCTGTCATGGGAGGTGTGGCCCATCCCCATCCTCCAGCTGCACCGCACATGTGGGACGAGCCTTCCTCAATGGCCAACCTGGGTGATCCGGTTATTAAATTACTCACTCACTCACCTGCTATCAAAGTGCATCCTGGGTGCTGCGCTGCAATGGAAAAATGAGCAATGGAGAGGCTGGCATGAGGGAAGGAAGAGGAGCAGGGAGAAGAAAGAAGGAAAGCAGCAGAGATGGTATTCAGCAGGTTCTGACCAGTTCTGGAAAACCAGTAGCAGAAATTTTGAGTAGTTTGGAGAACTGGTGGTAACTTTCCCCTAGGAGTAGAGAGAGAATGGAGATTTTACAGCATCCTTCCCCTGGAGTGGGAATGGAGATTTTACAGTATTCTTCCCTTGCCATGCCCACCAAGCCACACTCGCCAAGTCACACCATGCCCACCAAGCCATAACCACAGAACTGGTAGTAAATTTTTTTGAATCCCACCACTGGAAAGCAGCCTTTTTCTTTCCTCATGCCAGCCACTCCGTTGCCCATTTCTCCACTGCAGCACGACACCCAGGATCCACTTTGATGGGTGTGTGCGTGTGTGAACTGGCTGAATCCCACTGCTGCTTATAGTTCACTATCTTTTGCAACACAACTGGTCTGTGAAAAATATTTACTAAAAAAAGGCCAGTGTGTTCCCTCTGGGAAGAACTGTACAGTAGTTCTCAAATTACAACCATTCATTTAGTGGCCATTTGAAATGCCAATGAAAAAAAATGGCATGATGACTGTTGCAGCATCTCCATGGTTACATGGTCAAAATTTGGACCCTTGGCCACTGGCACCTATTTGTAATAGTTGTGCTGCCCCAAAAGCGTGTGACCATCTTTTGCAGATTTCTGACAGGCAAAGTCAATGGGGAAGCAAGATTCATTTTAATCACTAGGTTAACCTTAAAAACTGTAGTGATTCCCTTAACAACTGTGGCAAGAAAGGTCACAAAATGGGGCAAAATCTGTTAACAAATGCCTTGGTAATTTTGGTCTCAAATGTGGTCATAAGTTGGAGAATATTTGTATAATTTTTGAGGAGCTATGAGCCACACTTGGCAATGGGTGGTGGCTGCACTTCAAAAAATCACGGGTGGAGACAGAACAAAAAAAAAAACATTGCATGTCATGCTTAATCATTTCTCTACACAATCACTAAGTAGATTACAACTTGGTAGCAACTTTTAAAGATCTCTGGAGCCATTATGGAGAAGGATTTCAGGAGCAATATGCAGTCCTGAGGCTGTGGGTTGTTCACCTCTAACCTAAACTAGGAGGCTCAGAATGCAAGGCAATATAAAATTGCCAGAGTTGAATTAACATTAAAATGCTTTAACAGCTGTAATTTACACTATCAAATAATTGAAATGATTTAAACATCATTCAGTGCCTTCTCTCCAGTAAAATTTGATAAGACAACCCTTATGCAAAAGCCGTGGTGGCACAGTGGTTAGAATGCAGTACCACAGGCTACCTCTGCTGACTGCCAGCTGCCAGCTGTTTGGCAGTTTGATTCTCACCAGCTCAAGGTTGACCCATCCTTCCATCCTTCTGAGGTCAGTAAAATGAGGACCAAATTGTTGGGGTCAATACGCTGACTTAGAGAGGGCTGTAAACACTGTGAAGCAGTATATAAATCTAAATGTTATTGCTATTATGCAGAATAGATGTCATGTAATGATTCGGGTGCAGAATTTGGACTAGTGAGTCCACTAACACTTCCTGTTGAAGGGAATTTAATGCAAGACTTTGGGTGCCCTCCCCTCCCTCTTTCTCTCTTTCTCTCCATCATCGTCATCATCGCCATCACCTGCTTCATAGCGATTTCATTGAGTGCAAAATTGCATGAATCCTTCCCATGTACCTCATCTCAAGCTCTCAGAGGAATTAAATGCAGGAAATCATAACCATTATTTATCATCCCAATTTACCTGACTTCTTTCTCCCTGGCTACGTAGAACATTTGTTTCTTTGTGGTTTAATGCATTATATGAACCCCGTCATTTGTGGTCCTTATGATGGAGGAAATCTTGCTTTCTCTTCAAGTTTTAAGCCAGTGTCTTAATTCCAGCAAGGAAGCAAAATGCATAGTGTGAATCTTCAGTAGTTCTCCAAACTTCAGTTCCCAGACAAGGCAGGGAGGTGGCAAACCATAGAAACCGAACGAAAATTCTCATGTGAATTGTCCTAAATGCTTGACAGCATAGAAGATGGACAATCACTGAAAAGCAAAAGAATTTTCCAAAACTATCCAGAAACAAGAGAATATGGGGTAAAAAAAGGTCTTTTCAGCATCTATTTTAGGCACACATTTCATCCTTTCTCTCTGCCTTTGGCAAACCCCTGCTAAGCAAACTTGAACAAGCTTCTTTGGAATAGATCTTCTTGGCTGAGATCTTCCAGGAAGAGAAAGCTCAGCAGTCTCTTCAGGGCTCCAGGACAAACTGAGGGTGATAATACAGACAACCACAAATGATGATGAAAATTAATCTAAATGGTTGAAATGGGTTGCCATATAATGTAACATTTTGCCATATAGTGTAAGATTGCAATTCACGACTAAAGGAAGCTTATGAGATTGGGAGAGCTCATGAGTTGTGTGTGTGTGTTTGATAATTTGCAACTCAGTGTTATGTTTCCACAGTTCCTGTAAGAGGTATCATTGTGCCTTGTGCTAGATTTCTGTTATGTAAGATAGCTGAGAAATTGGGAGCCATATAACCATCAAAGGAAGTTTCATAGGAGCTTCATCCGAAAGCTAACTCCATTCTCCCTTTCTTTTTTTTCTCCTGCAACTTTTCTCTTTAGCCACCCCATGCATCAAAGCAATTAGTCCAAGTGAAGGCTGGACCACTGGTGGAGCAATGGTGATCATTATAGGGGACAACTTTTTTGATGGGCTTCAAGTCGTATTTGGGACCATGCTTGTGTGGAGTGAGGTAGGCACAGAAATTTTCTGGTATTTTTCTATACTAGCAAAACCTTTTTCCTGTTTAATTTTTGACCCGAGATGCTTATCTGGAGCTGACCCAAATAACTCAGCACTTTTTCAAATACTGGGAAAGTTTCCTTATATTCAATTTTGACCCACAGATTCATCAACAGGCATACACTGAGAATGGGTGCTACTTTTCTGGCAAAATCACGGTTGTCATAACTGTCTCAACATGTTTTCTCTTTTTATTCTCAGCTGATCACCCCACATGCCATCCGTGTCCAAACACCACCTCGTCACATCCCTGGCGTGGTTGAAGTAACATTATCGTACAAATCCAAACAATTTTGCAAAGGAGCTCCTGGTAGATTTATTTATACAGGTATGTGGAAATATCACATTGCAAAGTCAAAACTGGGGAAGAACTTTATTTATTTCCCTCAACTCTGTTATTCTGTTATGAGTTATCTCTTAAACTATTAAGGGTTAAAACTATGGTTTTAATTGAAGAATTAATAGAGGGTTGTTGTTTCTTAAAATGTCCTTTTTATGACATTTTTGCTGCATGCTTTTCATATTCCATACATTCAGATAAAATCTAAATGAGTTTACAGTTTTTCTTTGTGAATATGACATCCTTGTTGAAAAACTATTTTTTGTGTTTCCAAATTTCCTCTCAGTATCAAGTTCTGGAAACAAAAATTATGAGGATTTTCCTGCCTTGTTTTTGAGCTTCCCTTTAATTAGTCATAATGAGGTAGCCTTAATTAATAGGACTTGCAAATTCTCAAAAGTTTTCTAACCTTGTAAAAACAGAACAGATTTTTTTGGGGGGAAGTTCAGTAGGTAGTATTTTTTTAACTTTATTTAGTTGTTTCTGTTAGAGATTGCAGTGATAGTTGGAAGATCCTATTAGTGGGTTATTTCCTACCATACATTTTGCACAGTCTCCCTGATTGTTTACACTGTTGGTGGAGGGACAGGGGAATACACTTCCCTTGGGATCTCTGAGGTTTAATAGAAACTAGGAAAGCCAAGAAGATCAAAAAAGAAATAGATGGATGGTTGTGAAGGAAAAAAAGACCAGCACTTTGCTCTGATTCTGAGATTCCATTTATTGAAGGCATCTTCTTCCAGTCTGTTCTTTGTACTGGGGCATACTGAAACCAGATCAAAGTGATCTGGTAGGAGAGTGATGTATTTCCCTATGGAGAGTTGAAGTTGAAGACATTCTATGTTACTTCAAGGAGGAGGAGCTTTGGCGATTCAGAGGACCTCAGTTCACTGAAGGACTGCGTCCCAGTATACAACAACTGGGTTCCATGTCTCCATGTCTACTTGGCTACCAGGGAATGCAAAACCCTCACTTTTGGGTGGATGTAGAGAGATGGACCCCTAGCTCCTGCCAACCTAGCAGTTCGAAAACATGCAAATGTAAGTAGATAAATAGGTACCAACTTGCTGGGAAAGTAACAGTGTTCCATGCACCTCGGCATATAGTCATGCTGGCCACATGACCACAGAAGCATCTTTGGACAATGCTGACTCCCAAGGCTGAACACTGCACCCCCTAGAGTTAAACATGACTTGGCAGGAGCAAATTTTACCTTTTTTGTTTTTAGAAGGATGAATAGAGAAAAATGGACCTTATGGAAAATCAAAAGTGGGTCTCTCATGAGCTTAATATTCCTGCTGATAAGCAGAAATCTGTCTTTATTTTCCCCAGTGAATAATTTAAAGGACATTTGTGATTGCCAAATCTAATCCAAAGTCATTCCACCAAAAATTTTGATCCCTAATTGTCTGTATGGGCACAATAAAAATCTTGAGCCAGCCAGTGCAATTGTGTGTGTAAGGAATCCTGGCTGCTTTAGATCTTACCAGATGCAACTTTCAGACCAAAAATAAGGGTAGTCCCACATAATGCTGACTATGGTACTTAATGGAGATGTTTACCAGAGCATCTATCCAATCTGAAAACCAGGCAAGAATGAAAATCAGGACAGTGGGTTGTGGTTGTTTTTCACTCCACCGCTGCTGTTTGGCCATACAGAGGAATGAAGGCAAGGAAATTGGTAGAGATTCTTTGTTAGGTTCACCCAAGGAGAGGGAAAAATAGTTGTTTTGCTGCTATCTGCTAGAAGATGCTTCACAAAATTAGCAAGGGTAAAATCAAGCAATTTCTCAGTCTCTCTGTCTAAGTAGATCATGTCAAGCACAGTGATAAACACAACTATTAAATACAGCTGCACCTGGTGTAACCAATTCCCCCAGCTCTTTCTGGCTGGTAGCAAAATGCTTTCAAGAAAGACACAGAACAATAAAAGAACTTCCAAGCTGCACAATTAACCCAGTGTGTTGTTTTTCTCTTCTGTTCCCTGTATCAGCAATGATCACAACCTATTATGATGGATTTTTTTTAAAAAAGCAAGCTATAGATTACCTTATTAACAATGATGGTATGCTTTAAAAGAAGAAACTACTCATTATTCTGTTTTGGTATTGGTGTTTGGTTTTTTTTGCCCGAAGCAGGAGAATGTTTTTCTCTATAACCCAAGCCTGTCTTATCTTGGAAAACATGCCACACATTTCCTGCAAAATTGCCAGAGGAATATTAAATTGGCATGGGTGGGCAATGCCATATTTACTAGTACGAACAAAAGTCCTCTCATCTTTCACCCCTTTCCTAAGAGGTCTGCATAAGCGCACCAACGTGCCTACCGTCCCTGTCCTATTTTTTCTTTTATTTTTCTTATATGTATCCATGTATTCATAACTATGTTTTTACTTATACCTATTATCTTGTAAGCAATTGACAAATCAAACAAAATAAAAAACAAAATAAATCTCAAAGGGAGGAAAAAAGAAGGAAAAATAAACCATAAATACGAGAAAGCATCCTGTGACATACCCAGCTTTTCCTCCTTGTTAACTTAAAATTGTTATTCCAGGTGAAATCCATCCTAGGGATTCCTCCCTTTCTAAATAGGCATGAATTTGTATTTGTGTGTGTGTGTGTGTGTGTCTGCTGGGTGTGTGTGTATGTGAGAGTATGTGAAACCACACTCTAGAAAAGGGCATGGATAGGACAAAACAAAAATTAATTAATAGCCACTGGTTGAAATTAATTACCTATAAAATAAAGTAACCATTATAAAATTAATTCATTGCCTGTAAAATAAGAGCCCTGTACATAAATAAAATTAATTCATCGCTTGTAAAAGAAAAATTCAATTTAAAAAATTAATTTATCTGCATATACCAGCCTTTCTGTCTTGCTCATACCAACCACTTTTGTTCATAGAAACTAATACGTATGCATGTAAACACATGTTCCTCTTTCTCCATTCATCACTAGAAGTGAGGTGGGGGGAGAATGGCTGAATAGGAGATGAGAGTAAGGAACAGTTCTAGCGGTAAAGAGAAATGGGAGAAAAAAATTGGAAGGAGGAGAAGAGATATGAACAAGGAAAGAACGAAAACAAACAGAAACTCTGGTTACAAAAGGGTTAAGTTTTATCAAGCAAGCAGCCTTTCCCAAATGATGGCTAGCCTTCAAAGGCATCCTCATTTTTCAATATTTTCCAGCTATTTGCATCTCCTAACTGTTTTGTTTGAGCAATGAGAGGCTGAACCAGAGCATGAGTGCAACAATACTTTATTTTACAATAAAGGGCTGACCGTGCTTGCCAAGCCTGGAACTGGCTCGCAGCAATCAGCAACCGGTTGGACCCCGCAGCCTGCTTTTATAGCTGGCTGCTGGGGAGAGCCAACCAATGGGAATGGGGGAAATAACGCCCACGTAAAGTAAGTGGACCTGAGTGAGAACTCCTTGAGTCCTCAGGACATAACACTAACTTTACTTATTTTCAACAGGATCTTCTGTCCGTCTTAGCAAGATGACTCTTATGCCCATGAAAATTCAGTATTTCAATTTTTAAAAATATCTTTCTTTTAATTTAATTTATTTTGATTTGTATTTTCTATGTACATTTCAGCATTGCAGGGCATAATGCTCAAATGTCCATGGGTTCCAATGATTCTTAATCTATCTGACTTACTATGACATTTTTATCATATGGCAGTTGCCTGACTTCTCTTTAACTAGTGCAAGACAGGACAAATATCTGCTACAATATAACACGACATGCAATCATATGGTTTATCCTTGAGGACCAGCCATTCAAAAATGGCCATGATAGGTGCAACCTTTAAATTGATATTATTATATGTATGATTGTATCCTTTTTTTGTTGTTTGCTTTTGTATGTGTGTGTGTGTGCATTCTTTTATGGGTGCAGTGCACACAGCACATCACACAAAAAAATATTGATAGAACTGTATTTAAAATCAAGTCAAGTCTGCCTTTGTGTTACAGTGTTTTATCTTTGCACAAAAGATGCACCCAGATAAAACACCATATGTACAGTGGCGCAGTAGTTAGAGTGCAGTACTGCAGGCTACTTTTGCTGATTGCCAGCAGCCTGCAATTTGGCAGTTCAAATCTCACCAAGCTCAAGGTTGACTCAACTTTCCATCCTTCCAAAGTCGATAAAATGAGGACCCAGATTGTTGGGGTCAATATGCTGACTCTGTAAATGGCTTAGAGAGGGCTGTAAAGTGGTATATAAATCTAAGTGTATTGCTAAGTGCTATTGCTATGTATATTACATCAACAGTTCTTGATGCAATCCTCACACATGCTAGTCAGGGTTGCCTTATTGTGCTCCTATGCATTGATCATGTGTTATAAGAAAATAAGATAGATGAATGGAAGGTGCTAAATTCTAACAAACTACAAATTTAGGCAATTCTGTTCATTTTGTGTAGGGTGGGGAAAGTGAAATAATGGAGCACTCCTAACATGTCGCTTCCTTTTAGAAGCAAAGTTAGGTTATTCCAAACTAAAATCTAAAGCTATCCCTGGTAGAAACAGTCTATTGCTAAATCCATGCTCAGTTCTTCTTTACTTCTGAGCAAATCCAGGAGAATAGAAATAGAAATGTTCAGTTTCTCATCTCTTAGCATATACAGTATTTGTTTCTGTCATATTTGGAGCTATTGTTCCTGACCGGGGATAGTGATCAGCTAAAGTTTTGGATGCATGCTTTAATCTGATCAGTGTCAAAGTTCTGGGAAGCTGATAGCAATCTCTGGGTTGAGACAAGGCTCCAGTCAGCAGTGCCCAAGGGAGTTTGCCACAAAGTCTTTCTTGTCCTGTTCCTGTTAGCAAGCAGATGTAGATGGCAAGGCAGGGATCTTAGGAGTTCATGATTCAGCTGCTGAAGATCTGAGGAGGGTCCTTCAATATTTAATACCAAATCCAATATTCATTTCATGTTTCAACTGATTAGGCATTAGTGGAACAAGAACAGCACCGAG